TTTCAAGATAATCTAAAAGTACAATATAATCATTTGAATTTTTCATCTGTTGCACAGCATCATCTAATAAGATATGTTAGAGTAGTTAAAAAGGTAAAAAAAAAAAAGATTTTTGTATGAGGGTAATAAATGGTCATATATTTGCATGTAGCTTAAGGAGTGGTATCAGAAGTTTTGTACAGCACATATATGATGACAGCATTTCATGTACAAAAATGATAATCATAGCTGTTCAGAATTGCTGATAACTGTAAAAATTCAATAAGGGTATTTTTGCCATAAATGAATTATTTTTATTACTTCAATTTTAGAAAAAAATCATGTGATTAAACTAATTTTATAAATAAGATTATTTGGTATAATATTAAGAAACATTTGATACCATGCCTTTTAGTAACATGTTTCTTATACACTATTGTAAGCTTAGAAACACGTGAAGGTTATGGATATGCATGGGGTATTTGTGCTTATCTTGTAGTATTCCATCTCATTGTTATGTAAATGTACAATGGGTTTATGTGGTAGTACAGGCTTTATCTTGTAATGCAAAATATAATCATGTATACATCCATTCGTTACATTTACATTTGTTTATTGTAATGAACTTATACCAGTTTCTTACACAACTCAAATTAACATGGCTAAAGATTAACCAAATCAATCACTTGTTCAGCCCCTCCCCCCCCAAAAAAAAAAAATTGCATTTTCTTCTAATTTCTGTTAGAAAATTGTCCATCATGTTCCTAATATCAGCCAAATGATGTAGCTATGTATGAATCATTGTACATTTTTATGTACAGACACTGTATGACTTGTCATGTGTCCCTTTGGACCCCCCCCCCCATCCCCCCTTTATAAAGAATATAAATTTCAAATCTTCTCTTCCATTTATGAAACATATAAGGGTGATGATGCAACTCCAGGATAGATAATATTAATATCATTAAACATTATTTTATCCCGATTTCATTTTCATGGAGTACAAGTACAGATAATTTTAGAAAATAGAACTACAGAAAATTTTATTAAAAATCTGATCAAAGTATATCTCTAGTAATAATAATAATATGTATTTATTTGCAACTTAAAAAGTTGGATTTTACAATAAAAACAAATAGTCGTGAGATGCACAATCTTAAAATATACTTGTAAGTGTTAAAATGATTCGATACACATTAAAAATTCATAAAAAAACTCAGTTCTTAAAATTTGATAAAGCCCATGGGATAAAAGTTTTTGACGATCGTACAGTCCTCAATTTTGGCACAGTGTACTTATAAACCCGGCGCAAAGTGTAGGAACTTTCATTTATCTCTGGTAGCAAATGATGGATTTTGTGTCCTTCAGAGTACATGTTATGCAATAATGTTTTAGATAGTTCATCTCTTCTACAAGCAAGAGTGATAAGTTTACATGTTTCAAGTGCCCCATCGTAGGACAGCTCTGGGAATATAATCTTACATGCTCTAATCTGGATGGATTCAATTTTATCAATTTGTTGTTGTGTAAGACCTGGGTGCCACACCTGACATGCATATTCTAATGTAGGTCTGATTACTGATGTATAAAAGCTTGCAAGTTCATTGGTTGGAATACCCGTCCTTTTCAGAAGCTTAAGATTGTGTAGCCTTTTACTTGCTTTTTTATAAATATCACAGATGTGACCTTCCCAGCTCAAATTACTACTGATCCTAACCCCTAAGAAGACAGCAGACCCCACTCTCTCAATCCTTTGATTATCTACTAGCAGGGGTGTAGTTTTGTGTCCTTTTTTGGAGAAATCAAATATGATCTCTTTGGTCTTGGTAGTATTTATTGTTAGTTTATTAGCATGGGACCAGAGAGTGAGTTCTGTTGTTGCATCAGGGAGATTGTCCTGCAGTTTGGTATTCCCGTAGCTTAGAATTGCGGTGTCATCTACATATTTGAATGTGTCACATTTGGTGCTCAGATCGTTAATCATAATAACAAATAAAACTGGACCAAGTTTTGTGCCTTGTGGTACACCAGCATTAATGCGTTGCCAGTCTGATTTCACACTACCTATCTTCACACTTTGTTTCCTCTCAGTTAGGAAGCTGTAAATTCAGTTTGAAATAATTCCTGGGATACCTAATTCAAACAGTTTTTGATAAAGCAGGGTATAGTCTATTCTATCGAATGCTTTGGTATAATCGACCAAAAGCATTCTGGCATATTGTCCTAGAGTGTCAGTCTGCCTTGCAATAAGGTCAATAGCTTCGATCAGTGCGTATGTCGTACAGCTCCCTTTCATGCTGCCGAACTGCCTAAGGTCAATCTTATTGGTCACAATGTCCCAAATCCATTTAACAATAAAACCCTCCAATAACTTAGAGAGCACCGGGGTTAGAGATATGGGTCTAATGGTAAAGGTGGGGTAAACAGATGATCTCACCCTTTGATGAATTAACTGTTAATTGCTTGGTCAAGTTACCTGCCTTGAATCAAGGTGATTCTCTAGGGAGAGGTAGAGTAAACAGATTTTCTCACTTATCCAGGTATCCTTTTGATTATCTGCCACTTTTAATTGCTTGACTACTACCCACCTACCCACTACCCACCACACTTAATTAAGATATTCATAAAATATCTGTTTACCTGTTTATCCCACCTTTACCTGGAGGATAGGTGGTTATACTTTGACTAGATATATAATAAAACTTTCTGTACTTGTATCTGGAGGATAGGTCGTTATACTTTGATTAGATATTTAATAAAACTTCCTGTACTTGTACTCGATGAAAAAGGAATTTGTCATAAAATAATTTGTCTAATGATAGAGTTGCTTTATCATACTAAAAATATTTAGAATGGAATAAGATGTTTTAAACTTTACACCCCTTATATTTGTATATAAATATATGTTTTTGGCTTGGGGGGGGGGGGGCAATCATCTGGGGTAAATTGTCCTAGAATCGTCCCTATGTTTGCCAACTTAACTGTCTAGTTTGAATACTAATGGTAAGGAATTGGCCAACTTTCAAAAAAGTTTGATTGCATATTTGATTTTTTGTTTTTTTGTTTTTTTTTTGTTTTTTTGTTAAAGAGGCCCTGACAAACTGTTAAGGCTACTGTAAACATTTGCCAAAAACTCCTTATTTACTACCTTATATATATTCTTTTGGATAATAGATATATCTTCAGTGTTTAGTGATTGAACTAATTAAAATTTACACACATCCGGTCTTACAGGTGAAGTCATACTGTAAAAACTTTTTAGATTTGCAGCTTAAAAATTAATTAATATTTTAAATTGTGTAAATCCGACATTTTTTTAAATTACATCTCCCTGACTCCTGGGTATGATGAAATTTTCAAAACTCCGACCTTTGGGCTTTTATCCTTATTGGCTTTTATTCTTGTCCCTCATATGTTGTGGGATTTTTATCACTACTTCCTAAGTGACTTTCTGATGGTAAATAATAATCTATTTATTAGTGCATCTCTGTTGAAAACAACTGATCTCAGACTGGTAAAAAAATTTCAATTCGGTTGATTTCAGTTGTCATATTAAAATTCAAATAACTAGTTTAAGTCCACTAAAGCTACCGGTTTCAAATATAAGTGACTGGCCTTTGTTTACAACACCTGTCTCCGGGGAAATACTCGTCCCACTTGTACGTGAAGCGCATCATGAAAATGATTGTATGTGAGGGAAATATATAATTAGAAATTATAATTGTCGTCTTTTTTAATGTTAAGTAATGTTAGCACATATTGTACACAGCAAAATAAGATTTCAGAAGGAGGATAAAACATGCCTGAAACACGTGTTAGGCGAAAATTGCAGCTTACCTTGTGTAACACTTCCGGTAAAATGCAATACTTCCAGAAAGATGGACGTTTTGGCAGATGCCCCTAACAATCCGACGATATCAAAGGTTTCCATTTGCTGTATTTTAATCAATTCGACCAAACTGACATTTCCATGAAATTAATTAATTAATCTTTGTCGAATTGTTTGGCATATTACCGTATGAACTTATACGAAAAGTAAGTTGAGAATTGTCTTTCCCGGTAAGAAACATACCTCCAGATAGAGGAGAGGGATCAAGGTAAGCCTAATTGCAAAGTTACATTATAAACTGGACTCGGCATATATTTAACAAATTACACACATAAATAGCAACATTTGTTGCATGCAGGGCTTTTCCCAGGATTAGGTGTCAGGCCTTCTAAAATTACCATCTGTAACTTCCTAAAAAATTTCAGGGAGTCCCAACTTCGACAAGTGCCAGTGTACCATGAAAATCTGACTCCCCTAAAATCTGACTCCCCCCATGAAATTTTGACTCCCCCCAAAAAAAACATTCATTAATCTCATTTTATTTGAGTAAATGACTATGATTTTGTAGTATGCATAATGGATGATACATTGGCACTTTTTTGTAGTTTGCAGGTGAAAATTTTCATAAAAAAAAAGAAAAATTAAAAATGTGCACATAATGAAAATGTGGTTCCCCTATGAAAATTTGACTCCCCTACAAAAAAACATTCATTAATCTCTAATTAATTTAGTATATGACTGTGATCTTGTAGTATGTAAAATGGTTGATACATTGGCACATTTTTTTGTAGTTTGCAGTGAGAATTTTAATGAACAAATAAGAAAATTAAAAATGAGCACATAATGAAAATCTGACTCCCCCATGAAAATTTGACTCCCCCTCCACAAAACTTCATAAAACTTATTTTATTTTGAGTATATGTCTGTGATCTTGTATTATGTAAAATGGTTGATACATTGGCACATTTTTTGTAGTTTGCAGTGAAAATTTTAATGAAAAAATGAGAAAATTAAAAATGTGCACATAATGAAAATGTAGTGTTTTGACATGGGAGTGCAAAACCTACAAG